GCAAATGCAAAATGTGACTCCATGTGCTGGAACGAGTAAAATTGTACAATTTGTCAAAAGAGGAGTGCAAATAAGAGGGATGAGAGTAAATAAATGAGAAACTGGATTTTAATGGAAGCAATCTATTTCCCCCAGTCCCTAATAAGTTGTTTGTTATGAAACTTCAAGTATAAAATGGAGCCTTCAAAGTTCTGGTGGTGTTCCCAGACAAAGCACACAAACCTCTTTAGTCATCTTCCAACTGATTAATTTTGTTGCTAATGGCAGAGACGAGACCGAAACTACAGTGACATCGTTCAGAATTCCAGAGTCCTCATAGCGGAAAAAACACTGTTGCTGGGAAGCTTGTAAAACCAGCCAAAAAAACAGATGATAAATATATATGGCGCAAAGCAAAACGAGTTACTGAAAAATTTGTTCAAAAAATGGTGCTGTTGGATATGACAGGCGATGTGAAAGAGCAGGTGCAGTCATGCAAGGTTGGTGGAAACTCCTGACATGTGGGTAGAGTATGAACTGGCTCACGGCACAGGTATGATGCATACGTGAGGGAAAAGAGCTTAGAGAATTTTGTCTTTTTTTTTTTTCCGGTCACTAAAATAGCATGTGCTCAGAAAAAGATTTTTCATGTAGTTGCTGATTACTTTGTGAGCTGTGGTATAGATTTGCAAATATGTGTTGGGATCTTCTCTGAGTATACTTACCTATGTGCGTAGCAAGGCAGTGTGGTGATTGATAAAGGATTTTTTTTTTTTTTGAGACAGGATCTTGCTCTGTTGCCCAGGCTGGAGGCAGTGGCGAGATCATGGCTCACTGTACCCTCAACCTTCTGGGCTCAAGGGATCCTCCCACTTCAGCCTCCTGGGTAGTTGGGACTATAGGTGCAAGACACCATGCCTGGCTAATTTTTGAACTTTTTTGTAGGGATGGGATTTTACCATGTTTGCCCAGGCTGGTTTCAGACTCATGAGCTCAGGATGACAGGTGTGAGCCACTGTGCCCAGCCTGCTCTGCAGTGTGGATCCACACATGAGTCTCTTCCCTGAGAACAACTGGTAGCCAGTGGTATTTAGCCTTCTTGATCTCGATTCAAGATTGATGAAAATGAAAATTGTGACTCTATCCAGATTGTACCCACTGGGCACCTAGTATAAGACATTTTCAACACTCAAGTACCCTGTCCAAGAGAAGGCAGCGCTCAAGAGTTTTTGAAAGCAGGAATGAAACAGGAACATTTCTTCATGGCACTGATAATACCATAAACTATTTCTGAGGCTTCAAGTGCCTTGCCCACTGGTGTTATCTCAGCCCTTTGTTTATTGTCTTTACAGCCGGAACCTATTGCCTCAGGGCTGAGTGACCATGAATTTTCATAACGAGGATAAGATACCAACTTCCAAGAGAACAGTGGTAGAAAGTTTGTCTTTTCTCTAACATTGGATGAACTTCTTCTCAGGGAGAAAGAAATCAATGATTTATTATTTGGCGTATTTTAAAATTACCTCCAGGGGCTGCAGTGGAGCGTGAACAGTTACTTTCCAAAGAGTAGATTAGGAATCCATGGAGCACCGATGCCAAGCCCAGAGTCACGCCTCCAACTTTTCAGTGTGATGTGCTTATTGACTTAGCATCTGACAGAGAGCTGAAAGGGCCTTCAGTGAGTCATTCTCCACGATCTCCGTGTCCCTGTTCAACCCAAATATCTAGCACTCTCCGACAGAGCCAAACTCTTGCTGCCCTGCTCAGTAACTCACAACTGGTAGGCTTAGGTAAATATAGAAGCAGCCAGTCAGATGTGGAATCCTGTGACACAAACGATGTCATCAATCCTAAGAGTGAAAGAGTTCCAACTGCCATTTTTTTCATTGATCTGAAATGAGTAGTATGGATTTTATGTATTCTGATTTTTATCATAACATTTACAATGAATCTCTTGAGAAATGACCTAAAATTTTTTCTTGAAATGCCCATTAAGTGGTCTGTGGATGGATAGCCAAAGTTAGAGAAATCTTGGTTTAACCTAACAGAGCTTGTTAAAGAAATGCCCTTCCCTTCCTTATGGGGTGAAGTACATTTTCTTATTCTTCTAGGTACATTTCTCTCCTGAGAGAGGTCTCTATTCATCAGGTTTTTTTTCCAGAGAAACAAAACAAATATGAGAGATATATGTATGTATGTATGTATGTATGTATACACAGAGGCATACCTTGGAGACGTTGCTGGTTTAGTAAATATTGCTATAAAGTGAGCCACATGAAATTTTTCTTTTCTCAGTACATACAAATGTTATGTCTGCCCTATATTGTAGTCTATTAAGTGTGCAATAACATTATTGTCCAAAAAACAATATACACACCTTAATTAAAAATATGTCTAAAAAATGCTAAATGATCCTCTTAGCCTTCAGCAAATCATAATCTTTTTGCTGGTGGAAGGTTTTGCCTTGATGTTGATGGCTGCTGATTGATCAGGGTGGTGGTGGCTGAGGACTGGAGTGGCTGGGTCAATTTCTTATCATAAGACTGACAGCGAAGTTTCTCACATTGATTGACTCTTCCTTTCAGGAAAGATTTCTCTGTAGCATGGGATGCTGTTTGATAGCATTTCACTCACAGTAGGATTTCTTTCAAAATTGGAGTCAATCTCCTCAAACCCTGCTTCTGCTTTATCAAGTTAAGTTTATGGAATATTCTAAACCTTGGTTGTCATTTCAACAATGTTCACAGCAGTTTTCACCAGGAATAGATTCCATCTCAAGAAACCACTTTCTTTGCTCATCGGTAGGAAGCAGCTCCTCATCTGTTCAAGTTTTATCATGAGGTTGCAGCAGTTCAGTCACATCTTCAGGCTCCACTTCCAGTTCTAGTTCTCTTGCTGTTTCCACCACAGCTGCAGTTCCTTCCTCCACTGAAAACTTCAACTGCCTTAAAGTCATTCATGAGAGTTGGAGTAAATTTCTTCCAGAGTCCTACTAATGTGGATATTTTGACCTTCTTCTATGAATCACAAATGTTCTTAATGGCATCTAGAGTGGTAAATCCTTTCCAGAAAGTTTTCAACTTACTTTTTCCCAGATCCATCAGGGGGATCATTATCTATGGTAGCTATAGCCTTGTGAAATGTACTTGCTTAAATAATAAGGCTTGAAAATCAGAATGACTCCCCAATCCCTGGACTACAGTATGGATTTTGTGTTAGCAGGTGTGAAAACCTTAATTTCCTTGTACATCTCCATCAGAGTTCTTGGGTGACATGGTACACTGTCGATGAGTGGTAACATTTTGAACGAAATTTTTTTTTCTGAGCAGTAGGTCTCAACAGTGGGCTTAAAATATTCAGTAAATCATGTTGTAAACAGATGTACTGTCATCCAGGCTTCATTATTTCACTTAGAGAGTATAGGAAGAGTAGATTTAGCATAATTCTCAAGAGCCCTAGGATTTTCAGAAGGGACAGTAGCCTTAGCTTCAATTTAAAATCACCAGCTTCATTAGCCCTTAACAAGAGAGTCAACCTGATTTTTGAAGCATTGAAACCAGGCATTTACTTCTCTCTAGTCATGAAAATCCTAGATGGCATCTTCTTCCAATACAAGACTATCTGGTCTACCCTGAAAATCTGTTGTTTAGTGAAGCCACCTTCTTCGACGATCTTAGCTAGGGCTTCTGGCTAACTTGCTGCAGCCAGTTTCTACAGCAGCACTTGCTGTTTTACCTTGCACTTTTATGTAATGAAAATGCCTTTTTCCCTTAAACCTCAGGAGCCAACCTCTGCTAGCTTCCAACTGTTCTTCTGCAGCTTCCTTACCTCTCTCAGACTTCGTAGAACTGAACAGTTAGTGCCTCCCTCTGGATTGGGCTTTGGCTTAAGGGAATGTTGCAGCTGTTTTGGTCTTCTATCCAGACCACTCACACCTTCTCCGTAACAGCTGTAAGGCTGTTTCCCTTCCTTATCATTAGTGTGTTCACTGGAGTAACTCTTTTAATTTCCTTCAAAATCTTTTTCTTTGCATTCACAAGCTTGACTAATTGTTTGGCACAAGAGACCTAGTTTTTGGTCTAGTCTTGGCTTAGACTTGACTTCCTCACTAAGTTTAACCATTTCTAACATTTTTTTTTTTTTTGAGATGGAGTCTCGCTCTGTCACCCAGGCTGGAGTGCAGCGGCATGACCTCAGGCTCACTACAACTTCTGCTTTCCTGGTTCAAGGGATTCTCCTGTCTCAGCTTCCCCAATAGCTGGGATTACAGGCACATACCACCATGCCTGGTTAATTTTTGTATTTTTAGTAGAGATGGGGTTTTGCCATGTTGGCCATGCTGGTTTCGAACTCCTGACCTCAAGTGATCTGCCTGCCTTGGTCTCCCAAAGTGCTGGGATTACAGGCATGAGCCACTGTATCTGGCCTCTAGCTTTTAAGTGAGAGATGTGCAATTCTTCCTTTCACTCGAACACTTAGAGACCATTGTAGGATTATTCAATGGCTTAATTTCAATAATATTGTGTCTCAGGGAATATGGAAACCCAGGGAAATAAAGAGAGATGAGGAAACAGCCCGTGGGTGGGGTAGTCAGAACAGCCACATTTATTGATGAAGTTCACCATCTTCCATGGGCATAGTTCGTGTCCCACCCACCACAACAATTATAACATCAAAGGTTACTGATCACAAATCACCATAGCGATATAATCAGTAAGAATAATGTTTAAAACATTATGAGAATTTCCAGAATGTGACACAGGCTCACAATGTGAGTACCCACTGTTGGAAAAATCTTAATGAGAGAATTGCTCAACATAGGATTAACACAAACCTTCAATTTGTAAAAAACACAATGTCTGCAAAGTGCAATAAAGCAATGCTCAATGAAGTGAGATATACCTGTGTGTGTGTGTGTGTGTGTGTGTGTGTGTGTGTGTATGTGTGTGTATGTCTTATCTATCTCATGTATGTATGAATATGGAGGAAGAGATATAAGGAAATGGCTTATGTCATTACAGAGGCTGAGCAGTCCCAAGATCTGCAGTTCGAAGGCTGAGAACCAGAAGAGCCAATGGTACAAGTTCCAGTCCAAGTTCCAAGGCAGGAGATCAGTATTCCAGCTCCAGGTAGATGGAGAGAGTAAATTCCCTCTTACTCAGCCTTCTGAAAATTTAGGCCTTTGATTGATGGGATGCGGTCTGCCCACACTGGGGAGGGCAATCTGCTTGACTCAGTCTACTGATTCCAATGTCGGTCTCATCCAGAAACACCCTTATACACATACCCAGAATAGTATTTAACCAGATATCTGGGCACCCCATGGAGCAGTCTGGTTGACACGTAAAATTAACCGTTGCAGGGTCCTCAGCTCTCCTGAATGTAAGATTAAATGTGCATTCCAACAGTATCTATGCAAGCTGTGGATGAACTCAGCAGAATAGAGCTTAAATTGAAGCACCAGAGCGCACACAATCATGTTAATATGGTTCTAGTGTGACTGTACCATCAATTTTCTGGGTCTGCCTGGATCCTCAATGTTTCTAAATCACTATCCTCAGAAAAGGACTCATATCAGGGTCCTTAATTGCAAGTACCAGACACTGATTCTGAGTGACGTTAGTAGCAAAGTAATTTATTAAGAGGCTGTTGAGTAGCTCACACCCACTCACTGAGAGGTCTTGGAAAACTGGACTTGAAGGCTACATACCTGGGAGCCATGATCAAAATTACTTTTGTAGGATCGGTTCTATTTCTGTGTGACTATCACTGCTGCCTCTGCCACCACATGGAGAGAGCACCACCGACACTTCTAGCTCTGGATGAGCGATAGCCGTTGTTGCTCGGGAGTTCCTTCTTGGTCCAATGCTGCCAGATAGAGCCAGTCTGAATCCCCAAACTGAAGAAGTTAGAGTTGGATGCTCGAGGGCAGGAAGCATCCAGCACGGGAGGAAGATGTAGGCTGGGAAGCTTCATGCCTCTCTCCTTCTCAGGTTTCTCTGCCTGCTTTATATTAGCCAGCAATGATTAGATGGTGCCCACCAAATTAAGGGTGGATCTGCCTTCCCCAGCCCACCCACTCAAATGTTCATCTCTTTTGGCAACACCCTCACAGACACACCCAGGATTAATACTTTGTATCCTTCAATCCAATCAAGTCGACACTCAGTATTAACCATCACACCAAGTAAGGTGGGGCTACTAAGAAATAGATAACAAACGCTTGCAGTGGTTTTTAGTAGTGTGTTCAGGGGAGAATCCTTGGTCAGTTGACATTGGAGCAGGGACCTGAGGGTGATAGGGAATGAGTGATGGGGTTGTCTAGAGGAAAGCCTTCCATTTTCAGATTAAGGTGGGTTAGGTTATTCTGGCAAATCCTGTTCCTGAAAATAACTAAAATGTTGGATTTTTTAAATACACTTTTTATTTTGGAATACCTTTAGGCTTATGCAAACATTATTAGAACAGTGTAGAGAGCCTCCATCTGCCCCTCACCCAGTTGCCCTGATTGTTAATATCTTACAGGACCACAGGACGTTTGTTAGAACTAGGAAACCAGCATTGGTCCAAGCCTGTTAACTCCAAGCATTGTTTGAATTTCACAAGTTTTTAAGTTACCATCCCTTTCCTGTTCCAGGATCGAATCCAGGATGCACATGGCATCTACTTGGTACGTCTCCTCAGTTTCTTCTGATTTGTGACAGGCTGGCTTTGCTTTTCCTGACCTTGACAGTTTTGAGTACTGGCTATTTTGCAGAATGCCTCTCAATTGGATTTTGTCTGATTTCCTTCCTTCCTTCCCTCCTTCCTTCTTTCCTTCTTCCCTCCCTCCTTCCTTCTTCTACTCTCCTTCCCTCCTTCCCTCCCTTCCTCTCTCCCTCTCTCCCTCCCTCCTTCCCTCTTTCACTCCCTCCCTCTTTCCCTCCTTCCCTCCCTCTCTCTCTCCCTCCCTCCTTCCCTCCTTCCCTCTTTCCCTCCTTCCCTCCCTCCCTCTTTCCCTCCTTCCCTCCCTCTCTCTCTCCCTCCCTCCCTCCCTCCTTCCCTCCTTCCCTCCATCCCTCCTTCCCTCCCTCCCTCCTTCCCTCCATCCCTCCCTCTCTCCTTCCCTCCTTCCTTCCTTCCTTTTCCTTTCTTTACCAGTTTTTTAAAAAATGTGTTGAAATACATGTAACTGACAACTTGCTGTTGTAACCATTTACATATGTCCATTTCGGTGGTATGAATACATTTATAATGTGCAACCATCACCATGATCCCTGTCCAGGATGCTTTTCATCTTGTAAAAATGGTACTCTATAATCCATTAAACAACAATTCCCTTTTTCCCTTCCCCCACAGCCCCTCGCAACCCCATTCTACTTTCTGTTTCTGTGAATTTGCGTTTTCTAGGTACCTCCTTAGTGATGGAATCCTATGATAGTCATCCTTTCGCGACTGGCTTATTTCACTGAGCATAGTCTTCAAGGTTCATCATGCGGTAGCATGTGGTAGAATGCTCTTTCTTTTTCAGCCTGAGTAGTATCACATGGTGCGGATAGACCACACTGTGTTTATTTATTTACCCATCGATGGATATTTAGGCTGTTTCATCATTTGGCTACTGTGAACAATGCTGCCATGAACACTGGCCTACCAAGTGTTTAATTTGAAATGTTAGCTAGCTAATATAGTCACATGGCTCAAAGACTAGTGGAAAGCCTTGCTCCCACCCATGTCCATATCACTCAGTTCCCTTCTGCAACCTTTGTTATCAATTTCTTACGTGTCCTTCCAGAGATATATGACTTCCCTTTCTTTTTGGCACAGATGGTGCTGACTATCCTATATACACTGTTCTGCACCTGTTTTTAACCACGTTTCTTGGTGATTTGAGTTAAGAGTATTCTCATTGTTTTGTATAGCTGCATACAGTATCCTTGTATGGATGTACCATATTTGATTCAACCGCCCCTGATTGATTGACATTTAGGTGCTTTCCAAGCCTGTGCTTTAGCAACACAGCTGCGATGAATAATCTTGTAGAATTGTCATTTTTTTTAATGCATAAATATATTTGTTTGATACATTCCTGGAAATGGAATTAGTCAAAAGACTAATGAGTAATCTGTATGTATAGAGTCAAATGTATATAGATAGATGTCTATATATATCTCAAAATTACTCACATATATATGAGGGATATATTTAGCCAAATTGCCCTCGGTGGAAGTAGTTCCAGTTTATGCTCCCATCAGCAATAGGAGAGTGCCTGCCTGCATGACCTTCCCAACACGATGTGTTATCCAAGATTTTGACCTTTTCTAATCGGATAGGTGAAAAAGTGTTTCTGCTATCCAAAAAAAGGCTTGTCCAAGAATCTACGTAATAGCCTTATAAAACTGTATAAGGAACACTGTGCCAGTTAAAAGAAAAAGGGCTGTGCCAAGAGTAGCGGTGTGTGCCTGTAACCTCAGCTGCTCGGGAAGCGAGGTGGAAGAATGCCTTGAGCCTGGGAGTTTGAGACCAGATTGGGCAGCATAGTGAGACCCCACTTCTTCTTTTTTTTTTCTTTTTGAGACGGAGTTTCGCTCTTGTTACCCAGGCTGGAGTGCAATGGCGCGATCTCGGCTCACCGCAACCTCCGCCTCCTGGGTTCAGGCAATTCTCCTGCCTCAGCCTCCTGAGTAGCTGGGATTACAGGCACGTGCCACTATGCCCAGCTAATTTTTTGTATTTTTAGTAGAGACGGGGTTTCACCATGTTGACCAGAATGGTCTCGATCTCTCGACCTCGTGATCCACCCGCCTCGGCCTCCCAAAGTGCTGGGATTACAGGCTTGAGCCTACCGTGCCCGGCGAGACCCCACTTCTAAAAAGTAAAAAGGATGGTGAAAATCATGCAACTCCAGGGCATCCTCCTCGGTGCCCATCTCAGAGGGGCTGTGGAGGACAGTGGGCAAGGCAGCACCTCCAGGGTCCAGGACAAGAGGCCAGAGAGGCCAATGGGCAGAGGGGATCATTTCAGAGGCAGAACCAGGGGTTGCTGGCCTGGCACACTGAGGAGCTCCAGACTCTGCCAGCCAGAGTGTCTGCTCTGTTCACTTTCAGTGGGATACGGTATGCATGTTGTGGATGGGTGACCACTTCGTATTTTCCTCTTTTCTGAAAAATGTTGATTCACTTATTCGATTGCTTCCTTGATACTGTTGAGCAGATGAATTAAATAATGTGGTTTCTTTAGCTTCCGGGTCACTAGACCTTGAGAAGGCACATTTGGACCTACGATCCTGGACTTTGGCGACTGGATCAGGTATTGGGATGTTGGGGATCTCTGGGTAGGCTGTGGCAGACACTGTGGGATCCTCGGTGAACATTCACCCCACTTTCCTTTGGCCTCTTCTTTCTTGCTTACTGGTTTTGCTGGGGGTGGGTAATATTTGCCCAGCTGAAAGTTATGAGTAGTGATGGATTTATCCTAATCCAGAAGCCTTCAGGGCAATGGTTTGCTTTTCTGGTAAAAAGAACAGATGAAACTGGTCCATCCTTTCTCTCGTCTTTCTACCTTGATGCAGGCAAGCTGCCTGGAGCTGCAACAGCTATCTGCTAATGATGAGGTGACAGCTAAGGATGACAGGACAGGACAGGAAAAAGGAGGCTGGGCCTTTGGTCTCACTGACCTTCTGTATCAGCTCTGCAATTCCGATTTCCAGAGATCTTGTTATGTGATATAATTAAGTCTTTATTGCTGAAGCCACTATTAACATCAATATTCCATTGCTTATAGCTGGGAGCATTCCTAATGCATACACATGAATGGCTAAAGTCTCCCTTCTTAATGTTTTTAAAAGTGTCATAAGCTCTAATCAGTTCAGACAACCAGCCTCAGGTTCCTCTCCTACTTCCCTTGAGGGTTGATTACCCAAACCACCGTACTTGCTGTGTCATTTTACAAGAACTGTGAAGGCTCTGAGATTTTATACCACTTGCAAGCTAATAAGTCAGCTTGACAGAATTTTATGGATGCTGGCAGAAGACATGAGGCTCCTGGTTCAGAGACAAAGGACTTTGTTACTCATTGCAATGACGATGGCCAGAAGATCATCATTTATTCTGCTTCCCTGAGCCCCAGGGATGTGAAGATGCTTAGATGATACCTTTATACAAAGTGGCGTTCATTTCAAGAGAGGAATCCCAAGCCTAAGTAACCTGAATCTTTTAGAATGAATTTAATTAAGCCTGTCCAACTTTCACCCTGGAAGGAGACATTATCTTTGTTATTCTGCATAGAGAACAAATATGCCTTTGCTTTTGATTCTGAGGACCTATCTCTGTTTTCCAAAGCTGTTCATTTTATAAACATCCTTGGAAAGATACTCTGGAACAAAGACAGTGATAACCTCTGCTCTAAGACATGTACGAAGGTGAGAAACCCATGGAAATTGTCTCCCAATATCAGACTGTATTCTTAGTTACAGGTAATAGAAATGGACTCTGGCTGGTTTAAGCAAAAGGAACTTGTTAAACCAGTGTAAGATACAACCACTTTAGAGAACTACATATATGGCAATATCTAGTTAGTCTGGGGAGGCTGATAGGGAAAGACCTATCAGTTCTACTCCTACCGTCTAGGAACCCTGGCACACAAAGACCAGAAGAGATGTATCAGAGGGTCTACAGCAATGTTATTTATATTAACATAACATTAGAAATAACTCAAATGTCTGGCTATAGGGAATGTACAAATTGTGATACATTCTTTCAGTGGAATTCTATTAGAGTCACAGGAGTAAAAATGAGTGAACTAATAGCCACATGCATCATCCTGGAATAATTAATAATCAGTGTTGAGTGAGAAAAAGCCAGTTTCAGAAGGATACATAGAGTATGACACCATTTATATGAAGTTTAAGGATATACAGGATGGCCGGGCGCTGTATATCTCAGCTCTTAGGAAGACAGAGGCGGGAAGATAGCTTGAGTCCAGGAGTTTGAGACCTGCCTGGGCAATATAGCGAGATGCTGTTCAAAAGGAAAAACAAAAGAATATACAGGATGATGCCATGTCATGCTCGGGGTTCCCTAATATATAGTAAAGTATTAAAGATGCACGAAGATGGGAGTATCAATTCCAAGCAGTGTGTTGTCTCTCTATGGAGAGGCAAGCAGAATTTAACTAATTTATCCAAGTTTCACATTTAATGAATTTATTTAAGTTTCACTAATTTATTTAAGTTTCACATTTAAACTATTGATTAAAATTCTCTAAGAAATAACGTCGATTAGCTTAGTAGAAGGGTGGAGACACGTAGACCTGAGCTCAGAGGCCACCGAGCCAGGACCAAGGGATATAATCCCAGCATATTCCAGTACAGAGTGGGTCTGGGGAGGATGCAGCTGTTGTCCTGCTGAAGACTACACCCTCGGTACCAGCACCAGGAGCCCTGGCTCTGGACATGGGTTGCCGCCTTAGCACTTCACCACTCTTCCTCCAGGGGCTCAAATATCATTGAGAATCATCTGCCGTCCTTGCTTCCTTGCCTCACTCACACCTGTTTCAAAGTCTAGGCCATGTGATCGTGCTCTAGCAGCAGGAGGACTGGGAAGGTAACCAACTGGCGTTTTTGGCCCCTGTGGGAGGTAGCCTCTGCCTCTCACTAAAATT